ATGGTGTCCTTGATGTAACATATTGGGAACTGAATGGAACTGACAACCTGCAATAAGCATTTTGAAATAGCTTGAGTATATATTTCTAATGCACCATTCAAAAGTACAAAATAACCCTTTGGATTGTAATTATAGTTCCTAGGTCTCTGTGGAAATTTTGATTTTTCTCATAGTTCTTGAGCTGATTTGTGGCCCAGGGCATTTCAATTAAATTATCAAAACAATTGTAATTATTCTGAACATCATATTTTGGATTGTTTACTGCAATGGCAAGTATACCATTGAGACAGCAGGGTATTTTGTTGCTCTATTGTAAGAGAACTTGAAGAAACTTGAAGAAACAGAAATCTGTGCTAAACTGAGTACACTCTAATCAGAGCATCACAAACATAACAAACGCAGAAAGCCAATATTCTTAAAGTATGACTAAATTGATCATTTTCACTTAAAACTGCTTCCTGCAATTTCACTGTTTTTAAAGCTTTGAAGCCGCCTTTGAAAGAACGACAAACCTTTTTTTGTGCACAGACAGAATTGAGCATTTTTAGTTGGTTTCTCTGTTCATTTACCATGGAGTATGTAATCTCTAAGGTAGAGCATCCTCGTATTACTGTAGGTGAAAAAAATACTATGTGTTTAGCTGACCTTTACAGAAGTCAAACCTTACTGTCAAGGGATTCCGTGAATAAACATTTCACTGCATGGGGCTGTTATCTTCATTACCTTCTGTTCCATGTGAACATGTGTTCTTCTTGGACTAGATGCCTCAAGTGTTTTTTTGCATTGTAAATGGATATAGACTCTGTCACAGGTGTCTATATTCAGCCTGAATCATCATGCTCAGCTACTCCCCTGGCCTAAACCGATGACAGTGTGATGTCTTTCGCGTTTTTAGGATCATACAGAGTCCCGGATTAATGCTAAGGCAGATGGATGGCAACCTATAAGAGGAAGTAAAGCTGAGGATTGCTCTTTGAATGCCTAACGATTTCTATGCGCAGGTGGGCTAAGTTCCTTAGAAAGCCTTGTAATCCTTTCCCTCTCATAATTCCAGAACTAAAGATATAGATTGATTTAAGAAATATGGACCAGATTAATGTACAGCATGGTGTAAATCTGGTATACATTTTTGGGGGGAACATAAGTGTTCTTTGACATGGTTACATCAAGAAACACAGTGACTCAGCTTATTTAAATAATCTTACCCTTTATCATTTAATTCTTTACTGAAAATATCAGTGTTTTTTATTAACAGTATTTTTTATTAAATTGTTATTGTTTTATTCAAAAGAGTTTATTGTATAGATTATAATTTTAGATTATAGATATGATTATTTGATATTAGATTTATTTTAGGTTATAGATATTATGTAAAGTATACTACATACTTTTACTCTTGAGTTTCTATCATTTATTTGCATGGCCACTTGGATGGCTTGTTATCCAAATAACAGGGATACCCACACATCCCTATTACATGCCTTTCCATAGTTCAAAACTTTGACAAAACAGAGAGGCAGGGGTATCTACATGGAGAAATGTACACACATTTCTGGGCAAGGTGCCTCTGATGCTTCCTCAATATTTGGGAAAGCTGCAAACAAACACTGTGAAACAAATGTGTGTAGTATATGAACACAGTGGAATGTAAAATAATGACACTTTGTATCTGTCTATTCTTACACATAATCTTATTTGGATAAATGTTTCCTCCAAATTCTTGTAATTGAGAAATGATTCATACTACATAGTACTGGATATTATTATTGTTGTTATTATTAGTAGTATTTTCATATTACTATAAAATGTGCACAGGTCTGGGAGCTGTACTGTATTTAAAAAAAAAAATGAAAAGAAAGATTTTTACAATTGTATAATGATAAAACCATACAACAGTAGATTCTGCAGGAGCATCTGACATCCAAGTTGATCTTAATTAATTAATAGTCAATTAATGATACCATTAAGTTTTAAGATAGATAAATTATCTTGTGAAAGTAATGTTTTCTGATCATATACTGTATGTTACAGTTTTTACTAAATAATACACACATGGAGACATTTAACATGTTCAGACTTGGACCAAACCAGTTTGTCTCCTCATTAAACAGTATTCTAAAGATCTGTGCATTCTACAGAGAGGAGACACTGTGATTCATATGAGAAGACAAGAAAATGTCCTTGTGTTCAGAGAAGCATAACTCAATATACTGTATAATTAATGTGATGTAAAATGTTGGACATTTTGGAAATGAAAAACAAAGTGAGTATATAATGCAATGCATATTGTATGTGATATAATGATATATACTGTGTAAACATGAAATGTTGCCTAATAAAGTACTGTGTTGACATGGTACAATGTGATTGCTACCTGACAACTTGCGTACTTAGGCAGTAATATGGTTTTAGAGTTTGAAACTTATAGGGCATTATACAGTATATTCATTATAGTGAATGCAATAGCTACTAGGAAGGTAATCACACATGCCAAGTAACTGTATACAGCAATTAAAGATTAAGCTAAAGAATACTACTCCTATAACACCTCCCAGCCTGGCCTCAAATTTCACCCTGTGCCATTTGTAAGACTTAAAAGCCTGTGAAACAGTTACCATTGACAACAGAATTGGTCAAGAGGAGAAAACCCAATCTATCCAAACGTGATATCAAGTTTTAGTTCATTGGCAACAATCCAGTAGAGAATGAGCTTGCTGTAAATTCAAATGTTAATATTTCTTCAAAAACAGTAAGATACATATTAGTTCAAGGGGTGTTTGGCCTGTAACTGGTTGGTAATCTTTTTCTGAGAAAAGGAAACAGAAAAATAAAATAAAATAGATGACAGAAATGAAAGAACATCAAACCTGTAAAGAGTATTCTTCACAGGTAAGACCAGTTCTGAAATGTTTGGTGGTATACATATTTGTTTGGTTGGATGATGGTTTTTTTTTTCATTCAAACTTACATTTGCATCCAATTGTACAGCTGGGTTTCCAACTGGAACAGTTCAGGGGAATTACTGTACCTTGCTCAAGGTCAGAGCAGCACTGTCTCAACTAGCATTTAAACCTCCAGCCTTTCAGCTGGGTGTCCAGAACCCTGACCACTGCTCCACACTTCTGCCCAGAACATCATAGGAACAAACTGGGAAAAACATTGCATTTCTTTGATAAAATGAATGGGAGCAAGAATAGGAGCTGAAGGTCTTTACAATAAGAAGGACTCACATAACAAACAGGAATGTTCTGAACAATGTATTCACTTGTCTTTTCATATTTACTGTAATAATGAATTGTAGTTATTCATTATTACATTTAGTAACAATTGCATCATATACCCACTATGTCTTCCAGTTCAATATTCTAGTAAAGTATATCTGCACACTAGATATCATTTGATCAACTGAAATACATGCATCATCCTTAGTAGTACAATTACCATTTTAAGAAGCTATGTAAGGCAGTTACAAGAGCTTTATATTTATAGTGTGGTGGGAAGCATTTTAATGAATGATGGCCCTAGTATGCTCTTGCTAAAATAAACTTACAGACTCTAAAGTCTAATATGTCCCTTTTAATTTGCAATCCAGTAAGTAAATATGAGTCAACGCAAGTCTCAGATCACAGTGCAGTCCATATCTGTTTTTTTAAATAATAAGAGAGTATAAGACCAAACAGACTTTTTAAATTCATGTAATGGGGCATTTATTGGGGCAATATTTTCTTTTATAAAGATGTAATCGAAGGTTCTCTCTGGGTAGCTTTCAATTTATTTTGAAAGTTAATTATTTTGAAGGTTTCCTCCAGCATATTGGTTTTGCATTTCTTAAAAGAAAATGATAGATACTTACCATAGGTGAGAAATAATGCAAGAAACATGGAGATGCAGGTTCGGGGCAGAGTAAAGTCGGGTTTTACATTTTTTCCTTCATCTTCTTCATCAGATTAATTTTTAAAACTCACCCACAGAAGTTGAATTAAGGTGTTTGTTGTTGTGATGAGGAACTACAGTATGTGAAGGATGTATCATTCTGACCCCCATTCATTTTCTGTATACAAACTCATTATCATCATAATCAAATGCAGCCAATATAAAGCCTTTTTTTTTTGTAAAGCCTATGTTGAGTAGCAGACATCGAAACTGGATAAACTAAAGCCAAACAGGGTTTACTGTGTCTAATTTAAGTACATATGATACACGAGGTCCCTTAGTGCAGAACTGCAATAATAAATAAATCTCTCATCTTCTATGTATATAATTCAATTACATACAATTTAAAATATTTTGTTTGTAAGGAATATTTGTATATATGTTCAAATTAGCAAGTATAACCGTAAGCTTTTTTTTTTTCTTTTACAAATGTTCACACGTTATACAGTATATGCAGGATCTTCTAACATCTAACATCACAATAAACTGCCTTTTCCGGCCTTTATCCAGTTCTGCATACCGCTTAAGGCAAAATGTTCTTAACAACAGCACGTTCCAATGGACAATTTGGACAACAGTCCTAATGAAACTGCAGTGCAGCGAGATCATCTTTGCAGGACCACACTGCCTGTGAACCACATTAATCATTGCTATCTACAGTAGACAGGGTTAGAAAAGAATTTTAGCGTGCAGTGAAGACATGCTCTCTAAACCGCTTTAGCAGTTATTTCTTCTCATACGGGATGCTAATGTGAACTGGGATAACCGTTTTATTTCCAACAAATCGCTCTGCGTTGCAATACATTCTCTTAAATGCATCACAACTAGAGGTCAAACTTCTGTTTTAACCAAGCAATTCGAAAGATTGGCGCTATTGGAAAAAAAACTAATCTTGCAGCATAACCTGCGTTTGTTTGGTAGATAAGAAACAACGGTATTAACATTCTTTTCATCTTAAGACAACAAGAGAATACCTGCTTTAATCCAGTACTTCAGAAAACGATTAAAATACTGCAATTCTGACACCTATGTGCATTCCACAACAAGGCTTTAATGACTGACAATAGCGTTATCCAATCGGACTGTACATAACCTGTCTATGGAGCGTATAGGCCAATGAAAGCGATAGGTGGGCGTGCGTCGAAAGGTGAAGTGCTTTTTGAGTTTAGTAAATGACTGCAGTGGGAAAATACACAGGGACTGTCTCCTTTTCGCTGGGGTTACATGAGCTATGGAAGAAGCTCGAAGCGTCGACAACCCGACAAAAAAACCCGGCTTCATCATGAGGATCCAAAAGCCATGAAATCTGAAACGAGCTGCGATTCCCAAACTCTCCCATACAATGGGACTTTCTTCCTCCAGCAATAACAATCTTCTCTGGGGAAATAACCACCTAGAAAATACAATTACCTGCAGTACAACACCAGCCAGCTGCAGCTTGGTCCCTATAACTATGTGTGGCTTGACAGCAATAGCACTTTCTTTGGGATTTAAATGAAAGACAGCATCGAAGAATTTATGTACGAGCGCTCACACGAGCAAGTTCTGTACATCAAGGATTCGGGTAATGTTAAGCATATGCAGCGCAGCCGGTAAAATTGACATTGCAACGCAGCATAGTTGGCAGTAAAAAAAAATCAATGAAGGAGAATTCACAGCACCCCTTCGCAAGTAATCCTGAAGAATCAGAACAGGGGAATGCACAGAATAAAACTCGGAAAATTAGAGGTTTTAACGTGTGCTTTGCCGAAAGTATTGAAGCCATTACAGCACGAAGAGGGTACATTAAAACGACTATTGTCTCTGTCCATGGTTCTGAAAGGAGCTCTTTTAAATAAGGTTATTCAAATCAATGTACAGAGTTCTGAGTAGGTGGTCCCGGAACTTTGTAATCTACTCAGTTTTGATTCTGAAAACCTGGGATAACCTTTGGGAATCTGCAAAAAATATATAACACAAAATATTAGAAGAGTCTACACGGAAATTCTCCAGACAGTGCGACAGTAACTCCTTTTATTCTTCCAAAACCGGCAAAAATGTACCGACTAAACGCACTTGGGATCTATCTGTGGGAAACTATAGTATTTTTCAGGTAAGCTTCTATGTTATAGTAAATGTTGTGAAATGCTACGAGTATTATTCGCTTCTAAATGCCGTGAATATATCCGAATTGTCTTCAGCAGTAAAGAAATGTGCATCTATTTTTAACAATAATTTAAATAAAATATTCGTGCAGCCGTATAATTGTTACACACCTTTCGGTGATGATGAATTGTTAGCTAGCATCTCATTTGTAATAATGAATTGTGGTCATTAATGTTTTTTGCACATGGAATGTAATTAGTTACATTAAGTCACCAACTGCATTGCTGAATTCAGAAGCCTTATTGAGACTAAGCAAACAGCGAGGACTAGTGGTTATTGTGGGATAAGATCACCTTAGCTGCAGAAAAAAGGCACTCAAATCAACAGGCCTTGTCTGATGAAAAAATCTCTATTTTTTTTTTACTTTGTAACAGTACTACGCTTTAAAATCAGAATCTCCTTCCCAGTTAATACATTATATAGTTTAACATACAGACTTCTGCAAAGTAGCCAACATTAGGAATTTCGTGTGAAAAAAATCAGTAAAAGGTTTTCACCGCAAGCAGCATTGCTACGCTAAAACCTAGGTACAATGGATTCATTACAGTACTTAAATGACAACTCAGTTTTTCGAGCTAATATTCAATGCTGTGTTAGAAAAGTCAAGTTATTATTTCGTTTTATGCTATTTTGTGTGATATGTGAAACCGATTTATGTTTTTATTTCTAAGTTTCCGTGGAAATGCATACTTAAAAAGAGCTTACTATTGAATAAAGTGGATTGCATTTGCATTTCAAATGTGCTCAGCAACTTTCTATATAAATTGTAAACACTACAGTATATACTTGGAGTGGGAAAATAAAATGAACATGCTAAATGGAATAGTGCTATTACTTTATTATATGACTATATGCCTGGGATAAGAAGTGCTTAATTCGTGTGGAATTATCGGCATCATTTGTTGTTTTAAAATTATTCCGTTTCTAGTGCCTACACTCTTTTGTAGTGATAATTAAATCAGTGACTAGGGCAATGAGATAAACTCAAACGTCATCAAGTCGGAGATTGAGAAGAGGACTATTTTTTAGCTCTAGGAGTTTTCTACTTTACAAATTCGATTGAAGAAGCAAGTGAAAGTTGACGTAATTAAATAAAGCTGTTACCTAAAACAATCATATTTTAAAAAGTGGTAAAATAAGAAGGACGTTAAAAATGATGTGATTATTTTAAAAAATCTAAATAGTAATTATTTCGCATTCTGAGCGCGTCGCTTAGTAATGAACATGGATCAGAATATTGCACATTGCATCGTCTCGGTACTCAGTGCTGAACTCTGCACAATTTGCCTTAATTGATATCTCTCCTCCAATCTCTTTCCAGACCTGGACCTCATTTTAAATGCAGATTTATAACAAGCCATTGATCACTTTGTCAAAGTGAATGCGGCTGGTGAATACAGATTGTATACAAACATCTGTTGTGTCTCGAATATGTTGTCAAGCCAAAACCGAACTTAAGAAAATAACAGGCCGAGATCTTTTTACAGGTTTAATCACCATGAAATTTTGTAACAATGCAAATAAACAGACTACACCCATTTAACCTTTCTTGTCTTTGCAGTTATCCTTCTGTTTTTCATTTTTCTTTTTGGAGATGTGGATGGTTATTTTTTATATTTGACAAATATTAAATTTCAGGATGAGCAATATACTGTAATTCTTAAAGGCTCCATTAATGATACAACATAGGACAGAGGCATCCAGTCCTGACACTGGAGGGCTGGTGTGCCTGCAGGTTTTCTTTTCACCATACTGTAACTCTTTACAACATAAATCAGCTCATTTTTGACTTCATTATACAAATTTAGCAAGTTTTTCTATCTCCTCAGCTGGTGCTTTGATGTGACCTAGAAAGCCTACAGAAACACTGGTCCTACAGGATCACAGGTGGACAGCTCTGACGTACAACTAATGTTCAACATATTGTTCTTTTATTATTTCTTCACGCATGAAGGAGTATCCCAGTAGTGTCCGACATTTCCTTAGCCGCTTCTAAGGCAGTAAAGAATAGCAGCCTACAATAAACAAAATACTATGTATTACTGGAAATTTCCAGAATTTCTTTCAGGGTAGTTCTGTTTCATATTTAAAGATTTAAGATATGCTGCCATTCCCTAGATAAGGTAACAATAATATGAGAACTGCATCTGTTTTTCTCACTTTTTCCCTCTCTGTTTTTTAAGGGGAAAATGACATGTGGAATTAACCTATCCTGATAATTTACATTGCTCATCAATGCTTTTTATGCTAATACTTATGGCTAAGCTCTTTATATTTTCTACTCTTTTATTTAAATATTTATTTTGTAATTAAAACCTAGGTGGCACTCAGGATAAACACAATTGCTTCAATGTCTGTTTTAAACATTTAAAATAATTATTTGTATGGTTAATATCTGCTGTATAATTATTATAAGCTGTAGAAAAAGTGCTAGCTGTGAAGAGATTGCCCATACTAAAAGACGGTGGGAGATTCTGCCAAACAGAGGCCATGTTACTGCTTTCATGATGGTGTCTCTATCCGGTCGTTGAGATGCATGTCCAGCACTGCTGTAAATGTGCTACATCAAGCAGTCCTCCTGTGTTAGAGGATCTAATTCATCTATAGCCAAGTGTTCCTTAAAATGCTAAGGGCATTTTGTTCTGCGCTCAAATGTGTATTTCTTTTTGTTTTGTTTGGTTTCTTTCTTTCTGTGTCCAAAGCAAATTAATGTTTTTCTTTAACTAAGAAGAGGAATGAGGCCTTTAAATCCATCCTTGATCAGGTGTATCCTATCCAGGTTTGAGCCTCTCTGGTTTTGACCAAGTGGTGATTAATTGGTAAAAGTGTGACCATTTTTGTGACCAGTCCTAATAGTCCATGCCTTGAAGATGCTGTTGACCTCAAGTGTTATAAATCCTTCAACTATTGTTCCAGAAAAAAAAATAGGCCCATCCATCTTTATTCTCAAACGAATCATATTCAAATTGTCATCTTGACTGAAAAATGTTAATCTCATGACTTCTTATTGAAGACAGATTATGCATTCCAGGCCAAGATTTCAGAAACTTAATAGACCTTCCTTATTTCAATAAAATGTGTTTAAAAAGTTAATTAGAGCATAATAGGTTAGGAATAGAATAGGAATACTAACACTTTTTTTTACCATACCAGAACAAGACTTTTAAAAAATAAATGAAAACAGAAGAAGAGTCTTACTGTACTGTATATCTCCCCTGCTCTGATCACTTGCTGGCAGGTTCATTTCCAAGAGCTGATGAATGATAATACATTATTGATCAGGGTAGAACAAGATGGATTAAGGAACAAATAAATCAGTTTATTACTAGTGCTATCTTTCATTCTCCTTCACACTATGATGTAGTTGAATCACAATTTGATTTACTATTTTTTTTAGATTGAAATGTGGCTATTATCATCAATAATACATAGTAGGCATCTTATGGGCTTATTCAAAGTGTGTAGGATTAAATGACAATTTTAGTCAGAGTTTCACAAGAAATAAAACATGTATATCACGTTACCATAAAACTGCTGATCATAAAAATGACAGCTTTATTCATTAGAGATTTGATATAGCATAAAAGTAATTATAATATCTGTAACTTTTAGCCTAACACATGTAGGTCGTTTGATTGTTTACTGGCTGGTTACTCATCTATATATTTCACATTTCATTACCAGTGACATTGGGGCTTCATTTACTAAACATGATTGTTCAGTGATTATCAGTTTGTCATACAGTAAATGCATGTAGCTTTGATGTGAGCAGAGTTTGTAAATGTAAGCATTGTTTCCAAAGTAGTTGTAAATTTGACAAAAGCCAGAATACAGTAAACGTGTGATAGATTTACAGTACTCTGCTTTTATGTTGTCAGCAATGTTGTTGTTTTTGCCATTGTCATTATTGTTGTATTTCATTTTGTGCAGGGGAGTAAAAACCACAATCCTTTCTGATGTAAGTGGGAAAAGACTGAGGATGTTTTTAAAGATTTGACTTTGGAAAACAGTCCAGCAATTACAACAAAAAGCAGTTTGCTTTAACATCTGGAATAAAATGATAAATAACTGTTTTTATGGTGGTTTTAAGGCTGGTTCAGCACCATTTGTAGGTCACTACATTTTTAATTTACATACTGCCTTTCCTATCACTGACATTTTAAGCTCCTTAGAAAGTGAGTTTCACTGGGACAAAAAATGGTAAAGTTCAATTCCTCAAGTGTATACATGAGGAAGTCAGAAGTTATTCCCAATTTATAAGCATTTCTATGTGATAATTTATAATAAAACTCAGAAATAATTTGTTCAAGATTTACAAAGTGGAGAATGTGGTCATCATACATAATAAATCTAGCCACATCTCAAAGGAAACACACCTGTAATGTACCAATTCAATGAAATTAATCATCTGAGCATTTTGTCTCACTATCATTTCAACAATGCGATTTCACCTATCAACATTTATTATTATTACTATTATTAATAATTATTCATTATTAAGATAATCTTTAACCCAGATTAAAAATGAAACAAAATTTAAATCCATCAGCAGAAACTAGCAAAGTGATTCCTAAAGTTGAACGTTGATAAATATCCTAATTACTGTAAACACCTTATAGTGACAGAGAGGGTGATTATTTTTTACAGTGACCTGAGAGAACTAACTCAACCACAGTGGACACAGTCAGTTAAAGACGTTGTTCATGAATCAACACACACAAACAAATACCAGTCGCATACAGTATGTCATGCACAACAACTTAAGAATATCTACAGTACACCCTGCAACCCGCCTGTCCTATGGTTCTCTACATCTGAGACAGACGCAGAATCCAGGTCCATGAGTCTCTGGGGGTTTGTTCAAATGTGCAGCCCCTCAGACCAGAGTAGGAACCTTCAGGGACTGTGACCCAGGAGAAATTGTGACCACATGCATGAGGTCATGAAAAATAATGACCTTTTACAGTGACAACTCTTTAGATTATATTTGAAAAATATTATCACAAATAAGGAAGTGTTTCAATTTTTAATCCCCATAAAGGTTAAACGTTTACAGAACATCTTCTGTCAGCATACTGACCCAATCTATGTTCAACATCATTACAGATGTTTTGAGTTGTATTCCTTTTACACAGTCCTCAATCAGCTCAGTAGTGGCTATAGAACTGACTCGGAATTGTAATAGCTCACCAAAAGATTATATTGCAGCTTCAATATAAAACATCCTACAGTACAACACATCCTACAATAATCCTATAAGCATTACTACAGCAGTTATACAGGTGATACTGTATGTTCCCACTGTTACAGTTCATTGTCTGTCAAGACTTGAGTAAAGAACATTATAAAATTGTCAAACTTATTTTACGTGGTTAAGATGAAGTTTCAGAAGTCCACTGTACTTCATGGTTCTCATATTTTAGTAGATAGAAAAGCATAGATAGGCTTAGATGTTAAAATAACCTTTATTTTTCAATTGTGTTGAACAGTTATGTAACCTGATTTCACAATCCACATTTTTAGAGCTCAGTTTTACAAAATAAAAAAATTAATACCATTCAATAACTTTCACAATTCTGCCACCAAACTGCTAACTTCATATTAATGCTAGAAAGTACCCATCCACATAATTGAACAAGGACATAACCATAACACTACAACACCTTGTAGTGTTAAGGTGTACTTTAAGAGGAGGCAGTAGCTATAAAATATGGGATAGGATATAAATTAGCTCTCACCTTTTCACAATACTGAAAAACAGAACCATCTAAAAAGCTCTTAAAACACACCATCACCCTGAAAGGTGTTCTTGTGAAGCACAGATATACTGTATGCCCATTTTGTTGGTCTAAGATAAGTCACACTGAAGAGCCATAAGGACAAAACAACTGCCTGTGACTGCAGAGTCACTGCAAAGCAGTGTTAGAAGTCTCTTTAGACAGCTCGGCATTTCAGCACTGTGAAAAGATGAGAGCTTGAAAGTATTAATTCCCATTATAGAATGTTTTTTTTTAATCTTGTAGAGAAAGTGAGATTTTCCAGTCAATTGACTAATGAGACTCTACAAAAAAATCCTTCAAATAAAAGGTCGCTTTTGACAATGTGCTTCAAATACCAACAAAGGGATTTCCCTCATAGTGGAACACTGCTACAAACCACTTCAGATGCACATCACATGGTACAAAGTCCAGCTCTTCACTTAAATCACTGTTAATGTTGTTAAAAGGGATTTAACCTTCCTGCTCTTAAAACAAAGCCTCCTTGTCTTAAGTACAGTAGCTGAAACCATTCACGCTGGTATCCCCACATGTTACTGCACAAGTGCTGTTATTAGATGTGTGAAAAATCTGTAAATCATTTATTACGAATGGATTCTATTTACTCCTACTTGTTAGTGTTAAGGCTCGTGTAAGTAAATATGTGTTATTCCTTTCTTTTTCAGTTTAGCAGCCTCCAAAGAAGCTGCTGCAAGAAAAGCTTCCACACCAATGCCTCCTTCTGAATTCTTGGATAAACTCATGGGGAAAGTGTCAGGGTATGATGCAAGAATCAGGCCCAATTTTAAAGGTAGGACAGACCACAAAGACACCATTGGATACCAAACAGGAATGTAGCCAAACCTCGCCTAAATACAGCAGGGGATGTTTCATAGTTGGAAAAAAAATTGGTGTCTTTCTCTCACTTTTAAAGATGCACATTGTGGATTTTATCAGTAACCTCTAACTGAAGGAAAGCTAATAAAATATTTAAAATACATTTAAAATAAAAAAAGGACAGCAAACAAAATATACTGTTAGTTTCCTGAATTTGGTGTTGAATAAAAAGTATTTATACATAGAATCTGAACACCAATTGTTAGCCATAGTTGTGAGTTTGCAGTAAGGAATATTTTTAACTGAAGCTTCAAAGAATTGATAAGATGATTTCTGACATAAGCCACTGCTAAATTCACATGAGCCTAGGCATTACTTCTGAATTACATCAAAGATTCTCCCTGTGATTATTCTAAAACTACTTTCAAGCAAGTGTTATATTCTGTAACTCAGACATTTCCCATTGAGTCCCTTAAAGCTGCAACAAAATTCAGCTGAGTTCTTTAAAATCCAGGGATAGATGAAAAATATAGATCTTGTATTTTTCTGTTGAATCGGGATTATTGAACTTGTAGTTGCAAATTTACCTCGTCCCTCAAAAATCCCAGACATATTAACTGTTTGGCTTTAGAGGGTTTTACTCCCATTTACAATAGTTTCACAGTGTGTATGATGGCTACATTCCTGTAATCAACCTAAGCAAGATCTCAATATCCTAAATGTATGTCTTGTGGGTAATTAAGATGACATTTTCAGTTCTTTGAGTTAACTGTAAGTGTTGACTTTTTTGAGGTCACTGCAAGTGTTGGGCACAATTTCCATGTGTATAAGAAAAAGGCCATCATTAAAAGGAACAATTGTTGAAACAAAATCTTAATGTAAATTAATTTACCTTTTAAAATGTCTCAGAGGTTTGTATGAGTTTGTAATACAAGCAGTGTCTTTTAAGAGTGGCAACCCTCCAATATGCAGAGAGACAGAAAGATATAAACAGGAAACCATTGTTTTACAAAGTTAAAGAAAATCCACTGGACTTTTATAATATGTGTCTTTTGACTCATGGCTGAACAAGTGTTTGACACTAACCAGGATATTTAATTTAAGATTCCCTTCGGTGTTCATGAAGTATCTCAAATACAGGACATAATACTGTACATGATAGACACCAGGTAAAACAGTTCAAAAACATTTTTTTCTGAATTGCAAACTAAAACAAAACTAAAGCATTTGAATTATTTTTAGCCAAACAATATAATATACAAATGTATATTAAATATTAAATGAAGTGGTATTTACCCACACTTTAGTAAAGTTGTTTAACTACAACTTAGTAATGCTACAAATTCAATCGGAATACTTCCTGTTCCATTGCTGCCTTATGATTTTTGGGGTAGTTTTTATTTTATACTTTGCAGCATGGAATGAATGTCTGCTTGTTCTCTTACATAATGAGTGTTTACTAGCTGGAAATTTCCTACACACAGACAGAACAGTCAGAACTGCAAAGGTTATTTATTCTTGTCAGGGTAAGAATGCCTCTGCAGGCTGACACTTCAGTGCCGAGTTATTTTCGAACATGATTCACAGAAACGTTTTTCAAGTAAGAAACAAACAAGAATCCTATTTAAAAAATCCAGGCAGACAAAGCTTTTGCACTTTCCAGTGGGACACAGACACCCTGTCAGCACTCAAGTAAGCCAGCACACTTTCAATGGCCTCAGTCTGAGCTTTGAAATTACGGAGGGTTGCTGTTAATAAACACCATTTAATATGACTTGAGGATTCTCACAACTCCTACAGTGAAGGAGCACACCTTGTCAAATTAGCACCAGTTCTGCTAATTTGGTAGTGGAGCAACAGCCAAATAAATAAAAAAATGCCTGAAGCTAAGAATGTGCCAGCATGGAAAGAAATTACACTGATCATCACTGAAGCAAGATGTGGGAAACTGTTATAAATGTATTTTTCTCTATTTCATATTATATACTGTAAATCCTAGATTGGCATAACCTAGACAATCCCATGCAGTGATTTGTTATAACTGAGTTAACCCAGATGAACATTACAATCAGGTTTACTCAGGTAACAATTTCAATTTAAGAGCAACAATTATTTATGTATCTATTTGTTATTTGTGTGTTTATTTTACCCATGGTAACTGTGAACACAGCCACACTAAAACTCTCTATGTAAATGTATGTATCGTATATATCTATAGAATTATTTTTTTTTTAGTGTCTGCATAGACAAGACTGCCTTTTTAAAAATATCTAAATTGATTTACTATTACTATTACTATTACTATTAGAAATGGTAATTCTACTATTTTTTTACGTGTATGCCCTGTTTTGCCTATAGGGACATTCTGACCAATGATTCAAGGCGATTCCGTTTTTTAAGAATTGTTTTTTTCGATTTTTGATAATCAAAGTTAAGCATAGGGGGTGTAAGTTCACTAGGTGCCTTTTAACTGGCTTCTAAAGTAATAAATTAGTGGAGTGGAGTCTTCTTTTGTTGCCATCCCAGAGCTGTGTTAAAACTGCCACAGTGCATTACAGTGATGATCAGTGAAAGGCTTTAAACAAGAATGATTTTGTCACCTTGGCTCTGAATGGATTTTAAGACAAGTTCATTTGTAAATATACAGTGTGCTGCAGTATATTTACTGATTGCTTTTGGATGTTATGTATATGTCTATTCCTCTGCTTTTCTTCTTCATTCATGTGTTAACCTACAGAACTGGAAGATAATATGCTGATGCAACTTAATGTTAATTTACTGTTACCACCATGTGATTAAACTGCAGTGCACCCAGTGTGGTGTCTACAACACAAATTATAATGGAACAAACCCATAGAACACCTGTAGGATGTCTTTTTGTTTGAGAACTTAAATTTAGGATACTTGTAAAAATCTCCCAAAAAACACTGCTCAAAATTTTGTTATTTAATAAACTTAGATGTTTATTTTATTATTCCGAAAGTACTCAACGTTCATATTATTCTTTTAAACGCAAACTATAAGTAATAAAATAAATGATTAGAGATACAGTAGCACTTTAAAATTCTGAAAAAAGTAACAACATTCTATTTCAAAGTGTTAATTATACCTACTGCTTCTCAAAGGAGAAAAATACATTAATATAGAAAATGAAAATAAAAAGAAATGAAACCATCACAATGTAATTAAAAGGTCTTTTGTATTTACAATTTGATTACACTAATTTTCCTCTTTTTTCTAATTAAAATAATAATAATGCTCTGGAAAAAAATAAAAAAGTCCAAGTTGTATTTGTAATTGTTGTATTGTAGCACTAAGCATATTTTTAGATACGGTTACCAGGATACCCAAGTAGGATAAAAATATTTTTTTTAATTGTCCTCATATTGTTTTTATCATTGGGTATTTATCAGCCCCAAAGTATAGATTTTTACACAGTGAATGCTATTTATACTTGGGAAGAACATTGTGTTTCTTGGTTGTAAGTATGAGGAATCAGTGAAATGAGCTGCAAGGAGAGAAAGAAATTTGGCTTCATGAACTGAACAACATAAGCAATTTATGGACCATGTTCAGTTCGATGTGTATACAGTAGGTTTGATTCAGGTCGCTTTGACATGCAGTACATTTGGAAATTTCTGTAATTTAGTCTGTGTATGTAACTAAATACCACAGGAATTCCAAAGCTCAAATAATTTATGCAGATATACAGTTGTTAGTATTTAACCAATCAAATACAATTTTATTTTTAAATTGATGTCTTATGAATTAAAATGTTACTGCTGTTTTGGATTGCAAAAGGCTGCCAAAGCATATCTTGTAATTTCCAAGAAATTTGCCACCCCTCCTTTTTGTATATACTGTAAGAATCAAATTATGTATTGAATATTATTAACGTCCTTACCTAAGAGAGTATACACAATATGGACACTTCTACAGACTTAATCTTATTTTATCTTAGAAAACCCATGAGTGTTGGACACATTTCAAAGAGCTAGGCACTTGCATTTATCTTTTCCAAGCAAGGTTCTCTTTTTAGATGTTGCACTAAAAGTGCAAAATGCTGATTTTGTGGAGCCAGTGAAGTTAAAACGAGGGACATTAGCCAAACCTACTTGCTGAGTCACAGGGTGAAAAATGAATCTGTACTTGAGCCTGGGGATATTCCCCAGACAATGCAGCAAATCTAAGGAACCAAACCAAGATCAAGAGCTTGTCTGAGCTACAAAAATCAGCTTCCTGGGCATTAGATGAGCTGGACACTGTTTGTGATTTGGATGTGGGGTTTTAAGGCAGTGAAACACCTAGAACCTATACAAGTTATCCCCATCAGAATTGTTTACCCATTCAGTTATACACTGTGCAATGAGAGCCTGTTAGCCTCTCTTCTAAGCAAGTCTGCTGTGGAGTATGCTGGCTGTAGTCCTACTATTCTTGAGAATCAGTATGCGAAAAATGATTCCCTCCAGGTAACTTAACAAAAGCTGCCGTTGTCATATAATTTACACCGAAGGACATTTATGACTAAAGCTTTGAGTTAGAGGTGTGTTGCAGCTCTTTAAACAAATCCTTGCTACTGTACCTCTAACATTAAAAAACGTTATGAATTTAATGAAATAGCAGAGTAGGTCATTCAACTTTATATATTCTTTCCACCCCTTAAAGTATTCCAGCAGTTTAGGCGACTTCAAATTTTGTAACAGATAACAGACTTCAATGCAAAATTGATCAAAACAGAAAAGCATTCATTTTCCTCATTTGAAAGAAATATAAAGTATTTGAAAATAGAGTACATGTTGATTACGTTCCACCTGGATACCTCTCGACTGGGTAAATAAAAATTGCCTTTAAAAATGTTCAACATTTACTTTCTGTACTACTTTGTATATAATTAAAAATTTTGTATTTTATTATCATTCTGGCCTTTATTGACAATTAAACACATTTATAAGGCTATCAAAACAGTCACATATATATAGCATAGAGCAGCTCTGAAGAGCAAAGAAGATTGAGGAGGGAATGCTGAACAGTACTTTAGATGAGATAAACAATGATAAGGCTCCTCTTATCTTTACAGGATATTCACATTGTAAATAAGAGGTTCGGTTTGTTCAAGAAACCAGTTATATCAGAAGATGTTTCACTAAAAAAACAATTCGGTTCATTATGAGGTCTATGAACAAAAGTCTGAAAAAAAGAATTACTTTTCTGGTCAACGGTGTACGTGACACATTCATCAGTGTATGAGTACTTTCCCATGCTTGGCGTTCCTCACCCTGTAAAAATAACACGGAGCACATTAAGAGCAAGCTGTTTCCCATTTATGCTACAAAGACCAAAATTTTACCTAATTAAAATGAAGAGGCACTCTCCTCAAGCACACCATTCTAGTGAATTTTGTGTTCCATATCTAAACAAACTCCATTATCTAAAGTGATCGTGCTGTATCTGACATCCCAGTGGGAATAACCCACAAAAAAAAATGTGAAACAGTAAAACTTCCTTTCACACCTTTATATATACAGTATATGTGTTTGTATATGAGACTTCTTCAGACTTTTCAAAAGAACAGAGATGATTATATCCCCCCTTCTTTGGATGAAAAAATGACCCTGCCTCCAACCAGTACTGTTCTAATTATCCATTCCTTCTTTTTGGAGAAAATATCAACTTAGCTTACACACAGATAGGGAAATTTTTAAAAAAGAAGCCTCGTGCTTTTGATTCTTTGGAACTATAACCATGGTCCTTCCATTCGAAATACACCTAAACACATTTTCCTCTTTAATGTAATCTTTCATCAGAATAGTTGCATTAAACTGGCTTACTGATACGCTTCTGTACTCATCAAAATGGATGAAGTTTTGAACCTTATCAGGTCTCCTCAAAAAGACACAAAGTGGGCAGTAAATTACATTTTAATACCAGAGAAACATAAAACTTAGACCATAATTGTGTTGTTCCTTGTGATATGAGCGCTTGATAGTATTTCTTCTGAGCCTTGCAATGACACACATACAGCAGCTATTCTTCAAAAACTGAAAAGCTGTTGATGGCTTAAATATAATTGTATGCCTTACTTTACTGTTCTGAAACCAGGTAGGCCATTAAGATAATTTCATTACTCTTCCTTGGATGTAATGGGATTGATTTTAACCACTTTAATTAGCAATCTCAAGACAATGACTCAGAAATAAATGGAGAAATGCATGTCAATAATGAGACTGAATCTTACTCTGATAGAAGATTTTCTATACAGTATATTAGTTTCATTAAACCTAAACCTTAGTTTGTGTGAAGGATCTATTTTATTCCACAATATAAAAATGGAGTAAAATTTGATTCATGTGGCTTATTTGTTGAAGTCACCTGTCTTGGAGAGTTCACATTTGCAAATAAAGTACTGTAAATGAATGTCAGAGCCGTACATTCTGTAGACTTACTGTATAGTCACATTATACATATACTGTATACACTGTATATTATCCTTCTAGAGTTGCTTAAGTGTTAATGTTATGTACTGTATTGTAAATGGGTTGTGATGCTGGGTGTCTCAGGTGATTTGAGTGGGTTACAGATACTGACAGTGTCTGGTTAATATCTAGATTAATGCTTAACGAAGGTTAAGTATTTCAATAGAGGGAAACTGTATTTTTGTCTGTGCACAGTACTTACTTATTGCTGGATCTGCAGCTTTTAAAGTCTATATTTCTGTATTAGTGTACTAGTATAAAATGAGAAATGGATGGTAGGTGAACTGCAAGCTTCATGTAATTCTTCTGCTACTTTTTTCATATCTGTTTTTGCCGAGTGTTTTTTTTCTTATATACTGTATATATATATATAACATTGAATGTTTCTTTTTTAATAATTGCCTTACTGTCATAATGATAAACACATACACAAACTTTAAAACAATGTATTTAGATAAATTGAAGTTATATGTTTAAATGATAAAATATATATATTATTATGTAATAGAATATTTGTATATCTGCTACTTTAAAATGCATGAAATCAGAAAATTGCATTGCTCTGTGTTTGCTGAACATGATCTTTGAACAATACAGGGCATCTAAGGTTATATTAAGATCTCTCTAACAGATCCAGAGTCACAAAGTCAACAAGTTTTAAAAGACAAGAAGACTCTTGAGAAAATGCCTGGCTTATTCAAGGACCATTCTTCAATTTATTTACTTAAGTGCTATGCATAAAATTACTTCATTTCCATGCTTGTTTCACTTTAATAAACCCTGTTATGATAAAAACATGAGACAAATATGAGGAGAAAGTAATTCTTTGGATCCACATTCTTCCATATCACCCTTCAATTTAGACTCTGTACCTGAAAGATTAGCACATTGCTGAGATAAATATCCTTGACATTTTGTGATAATTGTTTCTTTCTTGTGTGCTTACATGGCATATATCTTTGTTTACAGTAGCACGCGACCTTTTGAAATATGGTTCCATTTAAAGTTTAAGATTGAAAATTATGAAGCAGATGTCTGACAGTTTAGTTGCAATTTCCTTAGTAAGGTATTTTAAATCCATCATCGGTAAACTGCTTGTCCAAGGGAGAGCCTAGACAAGCCCGAGCCACAGCCTGGAAACCTAAGGCATAGGATGGGACTGAGAGCACATGAGTGGGGTAGCTAGTCTGTTGCAGGACACTGGAGTAAAAGGGATCATTTAGAACAGCCGCTTAATCCTGGCTAGCATGTTTCTGGGAGCTCCAAACATCCAGTGGAAAACCCCCTTGACTTGGACTAGGGAGGAATCAGACCTGGAGCTGTGAGGCGGCAACGCCAAACACCAGCCATCGTGTGGTTCCAGCATTCTACTGTACATCAGTTCACATGGAATAACTACACCCAAGATCTGGGTGCATTTCAGGACATTTATGGAGCATTTATCTATAGTCGGCAAAAAGGCGCCGTCCCTCGGATGAGATGTAAATCTGAGGTCCTGACTCTCTGTGGTCATTAAAAATCCCAAAGCGTCTCTCGAAAAGAGTAGGGGTGTAACCCCGGTGTCCTGGCCAAATTTCCCATTGGCCTTTACCAGTCATGGCCTCCTAATAATCCCCATCTATAAACTGGCTTTATCATTCTGTTCTCCTACCAACTGACAGCTGATGTGTGGAGGCTGGGACCTCCAAAGGTGGAGATGAGGTGGAGGAAGGAAGCATGAAATGAATGATACTTATGCAGCATACCTTTGAGAAAAGACGTTCGGAATAATTATGATGTAGACTAGCTGGGACAAAGGTGGTTTGGTGTCACTTAAGAACTTCCAATTAGTAGAATGCATTAGCAATTAGGCAATTTTTAATTAATTTAGCAACCGTGTAAATCCCTAATTCCTGAATCTAAAATGAGGGATTTTCGAATGCTAGGAAGATTATTTAATGCCTCATATTTGTTGTGTTTTCACAAATGTCATTTATACATTCTCATAATTCAGCCGAATTAGATTTTATTTTCAGTTTGTAACAATATGAAAGATAGTATTTAATCAAAGTAAAATCCAATAGACAACTGCTATTAAAAAGCCATTCAGGTAAAGAAACCATGATCAGCAAAATACAAATTCATAAAATACACAATAACTGGATTTTCTTTAAGATAAACATAAAAAATCCTTTATCATTCAAATTTGAGGTCAATCCAAATGATGTTTGCACTGTATATGTAAAGGATGTGCATTTGCAATAAATTGAAATCTGGCTCTGTTTTAAACTATGTAAAATAAAAGTGAGTATTCTAATGATTAATTTACACAATGTATTTCCACATACAGTAAACTCCCCGGAAGTTACCTTTGAAAAGCAGATCATATTGGAAGTCACGGGCTGTATCTGTGTAATTATTTCACGTTGGGTTCTGCGACTTTAGGGGGCTTCGAGCACTTGTTTCCTACACATGTACATTGATCAACATAGCTTTTCCGGCTCTCCAACCTAAATGGTTAAAAACAGTACTGCGTTACAGTACTTTAAATTTCATGCGGCAAAGGAGAAGTACAGTAGACCATTATTATTGTGTAGTTCTCGTTGTTCCCGTGCAATTTCAAACCGTCATTCAGGGGCATGTCACAGACCTTTGCCAGCTGTCAGAACGTCAGTGAAAGATCACACTTTTTTCCCCTTTCCATGCATCCTTGCTGCATTGTTGAAATGATGTCGCGCTGAAGTGAAGGCAGTTTGACATGTAGTCTTGGCATTCTGAATTGAAGTACTGCATTACTTACTGCACTTGGCTCACCCACCTCTACCCATTTTCTGCTCTCCTGTGAACAAGTATGCATCGCAAACCCAATCCTCCTCCCCCCCACTACTTTTTTTTTTTTCCTTGACCAATTTGCATTGCCTCCTTTCCTGCCCGCTCTGGCGTAACTGAAAAAAAAGAGGGGAAAAATCCCTCAAACGCAATCCCTCCCTTGCCCCCCCCCGCCCGCTATTGCCTTTCGTCTGTTACAGGCCTGGATCGACCCTGCCACACACTTAAAAGTATCGAAGTGTTGGCAGGCGTAATGCAAAATTACGATAATCGTAGCCCTGCGCTTTTTTTAGATGCTGTGTTTCCGCTTTAAGAATGTATTCGCGCAAGATGAATTCTTGCTGTTAGAATATGATGTGTTTAATCCTAATCTTTTCTTTATTAGACCCACAGAGTTCCAAATCGGAAGCTTCTCACAAGAAAGGTACTTTCTTTTTCATTTATAATGGAATGTGATAGTAATTTGGTTGCAGCAGAGAGCACAGCCTGATTAAAAATAACAGCAAGAGATAAACACTTTGGAAGATAACTTGTAGCGGTTAGTAAGCACGTAGGAGAGATTCAGTTATGTTTTTATTTTTTTCACTCATGCAGTAACCAGGGTTAGGCACAGCTGTAATGAGTGTGAGAGAGAAATTGTCTACATGTTTGTACAGTGTATTACTGAGTATTCAGATTTGGCATCAAACCCATAGACATGTGTCTGGGTGTATGCGATGTGTGCTTTCTCCAGGCAAAATCAATTAAAAAAGAACAAAAAGAATATTCGTTCATGCTGTTGAGGACAGTATTTTTTTAGGATTCCTGTTCTACTGAACCACGGAGGAAAGAGGGAGAAATATTTATTACATAATCTGCAAAAAGCTCTCTATATAAATATATACTCACGGGATATTCATGTAAAATATGAATTCGTTATATACCACAGTATGATTTGAGTCGAAGTCAGTAATGCTTCCCTTTCATGCTGTTGAATGGAAATGCACTCCTGAATTTTCCCGTAAAACGTCTCTCAAAAATTAAATGTAATTCAGTAATGATCTAGTCTCGACACCTGCTACTAGATCTCTCTTGGTGGCCTGGCGCTTTAAGTGCCGAATGAGCTAATGGACGCGTTTCAAGAATCGCTCGAGTGAATGAAAAAGATTTTTAATTTGAATCGTTTCCTGGTTTTCTTATATCTCAGTGGCTAAATTTCATTATAGAGTTTTAAAAATTAAAAGGTTCCCCCCATTAAAAAAGCAATTTTATAACTCAAAGTAATTGGTTTATTATTACCACATTTGTAACTGTCAAAAAATGCACACTTAAAATTGTAACCTGCCTGAAGGACAATAATGGCCTTCACTATTAAAGTGACTGACAGGAATTTTTCGTCATTAATAATGCCATTACCATTTTTAATATTTCTATCGGTGATTCCCAGTGATAAGAACCCTAAGTCAAAGCCTCTAATAGCAGAATACGATGTGGTTGCTTTATTAATATAATGCATATTTTAATCAGTTGTTTTAATTTTTATATCACTCTGTCCTCTGTGGTGATGTAGGACAGTGAAAAGTATTTCAAACAAAGTAGTTCCCAACTGTGAAATGTAACAATCTGTTAGAATATATATTGTCATGGTACCAGTATGAAATAAAAATTAAGTTATATTTATTGTTATTATGCATAAACTAATCTCTTTTTCCGAAGTGCAGCAAAGCTCAGTTTTGTTTTCCTTGTTTTCTTTCAGAAAAGCATTTTAGTATGCAGTCTGAGGCTGATAGTTACAGTAGCTCTCTAGGTCCAAATGAATCTATAAAATGGTTTTAGTTCTTATTTAATAATTTGGTCTCTTTTTACCAAGCATTGCTTCACCTTTCAGATATCAGTGTTAGAATATCTGAATAAAGAAGTTCAAACCTTTAATAAACCAAGGATAAATAATTTAATTTAAAAAAACTTTATTTTTTTAAAATGTGGATTACGTAGCACATTTTGTATTTAAGATTAGAGTAATATATCTAGGGATTGCAACTTTCATTTAAAAAATATTTGGAAGATTTTGCATATTTTGTATTGATTAGAGTAATATATCTAGGGAATGTAAGCTCATACAGTTCAATTTGTATGTTATCATGAGTAAATTGCACTTCAAAATGTACTCACATAGCAGCTGGTCTTAAAATTTCATGGATAAATACAATTTTAGATTCCCAGTCCTTACTAGCTATAAGTTGTTTTTTTGCTTGACAGAATGCTCTTTCTGCAATGAGTAGTGTGACATTGTGTATGTTAAAAGCACTTCTCATTATACATCTGTGACTCTCACCTGAGAGGGACTGTGTGCCACTGAATGGAACAGATGATTTATTTTCTACCTCTAAGGCATTTCTATCCCTTGAACTCCAACAGATGGCAAGACACAATATTCATCTTTGTGTAGCTTTCAGTAAAATATAGTTTTCATTTTGATTTTGTTTGACTAGCCAGAATTTGTGGCCTTGAGGGAGCAGAAATTGTTAAATCTTGCAGAAGGTCTTCAGAAGTTACCTTAATTCAGACCATGTATGATCACATGGAATTTGTGTACAAGCAGACAAAACAGATAGCTTTGGAGGTCATTCTTATGTGGAGATCCTTTATCTTCAGACTTAGGAGAGGTACTTCTTACATAGGAATGCTTTTGTCTCATTGTTGAAGTAAGCTAATTGGCTATGAGAAGGCATCATTTTCTGTAATGGTGTAATGACAGAGTATGCCATTTAATTTTTGAGGGGCAAAATTTGAAACTTTAGTTATGGTTTTGAAATTTGTCATGTTTAGGTTCTTGTCCTAGAGCAAGCTTTGGACAAGAAGAATTCCTTAAAACATTATTTAAATAAGACTAAAAATACAGTGCATTTTGTCTTCCAATTTCTGGAAATAGAAGTTTAATATTGTTTTGCAAAAAATTCCTGAATTGACAGAACCAGCCTTACCACCCTTCCTGATCTAGATGAAAGATCCATCTGCACTGCAGGTTTACTCACAAAATCATTACCGGCAAGTCTATCTTTTGGCCAGTAGCAAGCTGAATGGACAATTTGAAAAAAAAAACTGCCCTTCAGCAAAACCTACAGATTCAACATCATGATTTAGAAGGTCTGTTGCTTGTTTCAGCACTTGTTGACAGAGTTTGATTAGTGCAGTATTACTGTATTTCGTTTCATTAAGGAACATGTGCTAGATGCCCTCCAGACCATGAGTAGAGGTTAATGGGTGCGAGGCTCAAATAAGAACTGTCAGTTACTGCCTGGTTAGTACTCTCAAATATGAATCCTTGGGACTCTGAGTTGTGTTTTTTTGTTGTCTTTTGATATATCTTAGCTCTCACATAAAAAAAAAAACAATTGCTCATAGAGAAAATTAATCAAGAAGCTCTGTGGGTTTTAGTTGCATGACATTTACTACCATATACCCTGCAAAAAGAACACAACCTTCCCACAGAGTGAGCAAGCATTAGAATCATTACATACTAGAGGAGGTCATTTGGCTCATCTTGTTGTTTGGTTTCTAGCAGCTAATTGATCCAGGGATCAATTCATTCAGCTTTGTCTTGAAATACGCCAGGCAATTAGCTGAGATAGCACGGCTCTGTAGCTCAGTCCATAGACTCAGCAGCATTTGTAAAAACGTGCCTCCTGATTTCCGTTTTAAAGGCACTTACCAGTAGGTTTACATGTGTTCTCTAGTCGATTCGGAAGAAAACTATAGGATTGACTTAGTCAATGGCTATGAGGGTTTTGGATATTCAAATCAGGTTCACACATACTTTACCCTGTTCAAGACATACAGAGGTTCAGTTCTTTTTGCCTGCTTATCACCGGACGTATTCCAGAGCAGCAATAGCTATGGTGTATCTTGTTGACCACAACTGTTCCAGTAATCAAAATGAGGTCTTACGCATTGTAAAATTGTAACATATCCCATACATATCCCATTATAAGAATTCTACACATTTAACTGTATATCCTAACATCCTGTTTGCCTTTTTATTGCTTACCGACAGTGTGTAGAAAATGAAAATGTTGCGTCAGCGCACACCTAAAACTTTCTCATAAATAGCCTCTTCAAGTTTGGGGTTTCCCATTTTATATATCTGCTTTATATTTTTGTTTCAACACCTGTATTTGTCTACGTTAGGCATCTGCCAGATTTGTGCTTCGTCCTGAATTTTTTGCAAGATTGTCAGTGCTTGCTATCCCCCTAGTTTATTATCATTTGCAAACTTCAGGACTTTACTAAATATACCAGAATCTAGATTGGTGACATAAATTAGGAAGAACAGTTATCCTAATACAGATTCATAAAGCACTCCACTAATTACATCATCACAATTTAAACATTTACCCCTTACATGAACCCTTTTACCCTTGTCTAATAAACAATTTATAACCCAAGTATATACATTACTTTACCTCAAATGTGTATAATTGGAATTTGAGAATTATCTTAATGAGGAAATTTATCAGAAGCCTTCTGAAAATGTACATATACTGTACAATATACTATCCTTTACTGTTTTTTTATCCTAATAAATCTAACATCTTAGTTAAGCAAGCCCTCCATTTTCTAAACCATATTGACTTCTGCAGATTTTGTACTGATTATTTTATCCATAACTTCACATGTAAAAGACATGAGACCTTTGGTCTGTATTTACTGCACTAACTGAATTATCTGTACAGTTTCAAAGTGTACTTCACCACATATGTATATATTATAATGGCATTTTTAATGTTTCTCTCACCACTCTTTTCCTCTGTCTTGAAAAACGAAGTCAATACAGACATTTACTCTGTCGGCTACTCTGCTAAAATAAAAATTGACAGCTACAGTATGTCTAACAGTTCAATTTCAGCTTCAGACATATATGATTGTTATTTTACAAACTGTATAGGAGATATTAAATACATCCTTATGCATACATCCCTGATTTCACTACAGAAGTGCATTCTAATGGATATCTGAATTTGTTGTCTGTATCCTACTCCTAAAACTATGCCTTTTGAATGGCCACTTATTAGTCATCCTTACCAATAAAGAGATCCTTGTTTATTCTGGGTCTTGTACTCAAACGTTCTTTCTATGCATAGTGTTAGAAATCTTCCATCTTTCCTATCTCACTCAAACACTGGTTACCCACTTATGTTGTATTCATCACAGTGATTTTCTTTCAGACATATTTCTGTGAATCCAGCTACATCATAGTGATATGCTAAAGCAGTAGGTTGCATTCTTTAATTTTGTACCTGACACTTCCAGCAATTAGGTAGAAACAGTTAAATATCTAGTCTTCTGAAATTTAGTTTTTTTCTTTTTTTTAATCTGCTTTATTTGTATAACCTTAGTCCTTTTATGCATTAAATGTTTTTTTAATTTCTCTGTAGACCTTTGCCC